ACCTTCCTTCACCCCCTGAGCTCTCAGCATAGCTTTTCTGCCCTGTGCCTGTCACCTTTAAAGGCAAATGCTACCAGCAGGACATCAGACAGGAACATCTGAGATCAGTCAACAGAGGGAGATGATTCCAGTTGAACAGGAAAACTCATAGTGCAAAATCCTGGCTCTGTGCACTCAGGGATACGATGGATTATACTGTGCAATGCTAGGTTGACTTGGTTTTCTGCTGTCCACACAAACCTGAGTGTGTACAGGAGGTCTCAAAGGTCTTGTGCCAGAGGAAAAAGTTTTCACACATTGTCTCCTTCCSTTGGAGTTTGTTGCTCTGGACCATGCTGTGTACCAAATTATCTTTATAGTTCTGGTGCTGCTGGTAGGTGGCTTCCCTAGGAAAATATTGCTGCTGATCCACAGCTGGATACTGGGATCCTTATTAAGATGACAAATTAGCTGAGGAAAATGAGGAGAAGGAGGGAGGGAGATGCAATTAGAACAAGTTTGAGGCTGTGAAGAACTGGCAACGATGTGTTCTGTACAGACTTTCCTTGAAACTGTGGAATCTGGAAATATTTAATGTCAAGTCAGAGAGAAAAAGAACAGCACAGATATCTTCCCCAGGAGGATAAAAAAAAACAAAAAAACAAACAAACCCGGTCACTTGCCTTTGCTGAGGGWTTTTTCCTCCCTTTGGATGTATTGAGCTGTGTAATAACTTGCACATATCTGGAAGGGATGCAGAGCACAGCAATCAATAATACAAGAAACGATAATCAGGTGTTTGAGCCACCTGACACGAGCGCTCTCCAAAGATAATTCTCTCCCACAGGACATCGCCGAACATAACTTCAGTTTATTCCCAGCAAAAAAAAATAAATGCTTGCTCGCTGTGCAGAGACAAACCCTGCCAACAGTTTTCTTGCTGAAAACTGGGAAAGGGATGGTGGAGCAGGGAGAACCATGAGGAAACACCCACTGGAGCTGGTGGTGGCCAGCAGACAGCTGGAGCAATCTGTCACCCGTCACCAGTGTCCTTAAAATCCTTAGAAACACCTCAATAAAAAGGAAATTTGCCTCTATGTTCAGCAGTGTGAGGAGAACAGAGGGAGCCCAGAAGAGTCTGGGGCTGCATTTCTCATGTGTAAAGGACAAAGGACCCTGGCACCAAGGGACACAGTGAATGTGTGTCACCATCACTGGTTCTTGAGCAGGTTAAGCTGCAGTGTGAGCCCAGCCTGGTCTCATAAAGCTGCCCATGAATGAGACAGCACTGAAAATTCCCTGTCTCTGTGTGGAATCAATCCAGAGCAGTGCAGCCAGTGCATTCCAGGTATTTATTGGAGGATTTCAGAAAAGTTTGAGTTGGGAATGACCTTAAAGACCATTGTGTTTCACCCTCTGCCATGGTCAGGGACATCTTCCACTATCCCAGGGTGCTCCAAACCCCATCCAGCCTGGCCTTAGTCACTGCCAGGGATTCACAGCTTCTTTGGGCACCCTGTGCCAGGGCCTCAYCACCCTCACAGAGAAGAATTTCTTCCTAATATCTAATCTAAACCTACTCTCTCAGTTTAAAGCCTTTTCTAAAGCAGTTACATGTCTCTGATTAGTGTGGCTGGTTTTTTTTTTTTGTATTAACTGGATCTCTATGCTAACAGCCTTGCAATTAAGAAAAAAATAAAGTAACCAGAACTGTTAAAAAGTAAAACAAGCAGAAACTGGGTTTTAGCCACTTGCAGAGCCACATTGCCAACCAAAAGGCAGAGAGGAGCTTTGGTGATCAGACACCATCAATGCTGAGCTCTTCCCCTAACTGTAATACCATCATTCATAATTGGCTGTAAAGATGAGGTGTTTCTCAAGCTACCAAAATGCCAAATTCCTTTTTTATTCAGCATCACCAAAATKACATTTATGTTATTCAGGATTGCCATCCCCTTTGAACCCAGAGCAGTCAGCAAYAGCACAGAAATTTTTATGCCTGTCTAGTACAAGGCACTGCATAAAAAGAGAGAGGGCATAAATGATGTAATTGATGTGAAAGTTTTTGCCCTGCCCTCCCAAAAAGCAGAAAAATTCAAAGCAGGTGGGGATGGAAAGTTCCTAACTCTGWGCCTCCTGTTTGGAGCTTTCCTCCTGGGAGCTCCCACAAAGCTGGCTTGTGCCTGCACTATAGACTCATTCACTCTGCTGAGGAGTCWATTAATAAAAAGGAGAGAAACAATGATTTTCAGATGGCAGAGTATCAAATAATCAATACTTATTCACAAGCAGAAGAGTGGCAGATAGGGATATATACCAATCACAGACACAATGTTTAATAAAACATCTCAGTCTTTGTCACTCTAGGCAGTTTTCTGCTACATTTTATAGGTCACAGTCCATGAAATTTCATAGGAACTTTCATATCTGTTCTCTGTAGCAGAATATGACATTTATTTGTTATTAAACCATATAATTTAGGGAGGATGAAGGTACTTTATCCAAAGCAGCATGTGAAGTAGTCTTTCCAACAATGATCTCTCTCTAATGTATCTGTATTTTGGGACCTCTGTATAATCCTGTGAGCTCCTTATCTTTTTTTCTAATGGGAAATAATAGATGAATATCATTTTATAGTGATTGTATGATCAGAGGCCAAGATACTTGTTAAACTCAGGGTACAACCTTTGCTTGTTTTTTCCACTGCTGACCCAGACTGTCACCACAGAAAGTTGCCAGCTTTAATCATCAGAAACATGAACAGCAGAGAGTTAATTGTGATAAGTCAGTGCTAAGCAGGGAAGTTGAGAGAGGATATGTTCTGATGGGGGCAGCTTTTATGGATTTTGGCAGCTTCAGGAGGAGGGAAAGGTGAGTGGGGATTGGAGGCTGAAAAGGATCAAAGACTGGGAACAAATCATGGGGAAGTGCCTCTTTTTCTCCAGTCCAGTGGCTTGTAAGAGAATACACCTATTTGAATCAATGTTTTGGTTGTAGTCCGCTGTCCCATAGGGCTGATACCTCTTTTGGGATGTTGAGACCTGCTGGCTGTCAGCTAAATGGCCCATATGTATGTTTTTCATRTGTAAAAATCCTTTGGACCACGCTTGGGAGACAGAGGGTGAAGGAGAGAAAGAGAAACGTGTAAGAGAGAAGCAGGGTGTAATTCTGCAACTGTGTCATTACTCTCAATAGGACATAGTTGTGAGCCACTGAAATTCCTGTTTTGCCACAACTTCAATGGTGGCTTAAAAAGTCCCTTTTTATCCCTGGGTCCATGTTACTGGGAAAGTATTGCCCCTGGAGGAGTCAGCATCGATAATCCACGGTGMTGGTCCTTCTTGCAGCTCTCTGGGGCACACAGCACCTTGCCTGACCTGCAATTTCTCTTAATAAAACCAGAAAAGACACTGCTATGTGAAAGCCCTCAGGGCTTGTAACCTTACTGAAATAATCTATTTTGGGGAAAAAAAAAAAAAATTGTGGCGTTTTTTTAGCAGCCCAAACCATGTGAGGGTCTGCAGATAGCTGTAATAATTCCTGCTCACTGGAATTGCAGAGCATACTGCTATCAACATTTAATCTGGGCTTTTTGGTGCATAATCATATTTCACTCATTTTCCTCCATCCTTTTGCTTGAGATAAATGAACCCCTTCTGTGCCACCACCAACCCAGAATTCATAGRCCAATATTTTACAGCCAGGCCAACGAATGTAGCCAGTTTGGGCATTTTATGGCCCATCTCTCATTCCCTCCCTGTGATCAGCAGCATTTCCAGCATCTGTCTCTCAAATTTGCCTACAGCCTTCAGTTCAAAAAGAGATGACAGCGGTCACTTTGTCAGCCAGCATCACCTTTGTTCCTAAGACACCAGGCTCTGGCAAGAACAATCTTGACTTGGCAGGGAATTACCTGGGAATGGCATTTCTTGGAACGGGAGAGCCTTTGGCAAGTGGCCAGCATTGCCACTGAGCCATGCCCTGCCTCTGATTTTTATCCCTCCAAATTCAGGCCTTTTGGCAGCAGTTCATGGAAATCTGTCTGGGTGAGCCACTCACTTGGAGAGGCACTGATGCCTCGTCTGGGGCTGGAGGTGCTGGAGAGGAAAAGGAAACAAACAGATGGGTTTTGTTTTTGCAGCTGGCTTGGAAAGCATGCAAGATATAGATCCAAATCCACGTGGTTTTCCTGGTCTACTCTTGTTCTTAAGCCTTCTACTCAAGKGCTTTCACCTTTCCTATAAACATCCCTGAAATAGCTGTGGGTTAGGCACAGAGCTGTTAGTGTTACTCTCCAATCCTGGTGATTTCAGTCAGTTTTTTGCTGAAAGGTGTTCTTCAAACTATCTTTTTCTCAGGAAAAAAAAAAAAAAACAGTTTACCTCAATCCTTGCAAATTTCAACAATCACCCTGAGTCTTAGAAATAATACCTTGCATTTTATGTGATTTTGATTATACATCTACCTGTGCAATTCCCTACCCAYACTGTGTTCCTTACACACCCTTTCTAAGCAATTCCAGCCTAAATGAAGCTAAATCCTTCATCTTAATGAAAGTTAGAACTCTCACGTGCCAGAGATGAAATATATTTTGATACAGTTCTGCTCAGTGCTAGTGTGTCTGTACAGATACTAATCACACATTCTTTACAGGGATTTGCTGTGAATGAGCAGATATATTATTATATTATTATATTATCCAGGCAGGCAGTGAATATTACAGTGAATAGTTTCCTGTTAACACAGAGCATCGCTGCCTCTCTGTGACTAGAGAATGACTTAGCTTAAAGGAACATCTTTCATCTGTGTAAATGGTTTACTGGGGGGCATTGCAAAGAGTTCTGAATAGAATTTTTTTTCCACAGAAACAGAGCTACAAGGATGACACAAGTAATTGCATTCTATAGTGCCTCCCAGTGCTATGCATGTTTTTTTGAATGGGAAAAAAAAAACAACTCCTGTTGGAAGCCTTGTGARTTTAGTAATTGTAACTAATAGGGTTGTTTCTTTTTGCCTTTTAGGATGGAATGGGGAACCTGAGGATCACAGAAAAGGGTCTGAAGCTTGAAGGAGATTCAGAGTTCTTGAAACCTCTCTACGCCAAAGAAATCCGATCAAGACCAGTAAGTTTTTGGGAAAAGAATAATCTTGTTTCTGTAGCCCTAACACAAGCCATGAATTGTCAGGGTGCTGTAGTTATTGGATAAATTGGTTTGGCCATTTGCCTCTCTATGCAGATACAATTTGGGGAACGAGGCAGTGGGTGCCCTTTGAGGGTTTCACCTGGACTCTGTGTCCTCTGGGCAGTCCCAAAGCTGATACCCATGGCTCTGGTTTGTGTAAGCCACAGTTAAAACACTTCCAGAACCTCTGAAGTTTCCCACTCTTCTTGCTTTCTTTTGAGAGAAATCCTAAACAGCCCCCAGCTGAAGAACCTGTTATTTCCAAGGCAGAGGGGTGGCTGGCAGTTCTGAAACCCAGCTCTTTTTAAACCAGTTCCAGCTTTTCTGGATAGCAGAGGTGGTGCCTTGGCACAAGGGCCTGATCTGTTGTTCATTAGCACAATGAACTGAGCAGGGTTACCTGCTCAGTCCCATTTCATGTTGGTTTAAAATTATGTGTAGTTAAAATTCAATGCTGCTAAGAGTGACTGCTTGACAAAAGTGGCAGGAATGTTAACTACTGAAAATGAGAAAGAACCCGAGTGTGATTGAAGTAACATTTTCATAGCAGCACTTGGTTGGCTGTTGGTGACTTTTGCTCTCTCTCCTGCAATCCTCTGTGYCCTGAGCAGCTTTAAAATTACTGAAACAACTACAGAGAGTTTCCAGGATCCGTGTCAGAAGATATCATCTGTCTTGTTTCCTGATCTAAAGTGTTCATTTGAGTCAGATACCAACCTTCCCTTTTGATAACAGTGGCAGATAGCTAATTAAATAAACCTAACATCCTTTTATCTTAGCATTTCAGCGCCCTTGTAGAAATTGGAACTTGGAGCATAATGAACAAAACAGCCAATACGAAATCCCATTTAATTATTGAAGGTTGTAACCTCTGTAAGATGGCTAGRAATTGATTTGAACAAGCATAATCATTCAGGAAGAAAACTTAATAAGAAAACCTTCATATCTATAAATGCTTCCAGCCCTGAATTAAAACTGAACCTGTAAAACCTTACATATCATACACCTTTTAACATAAAATACGTGAGAACCAGGTGCAGCAGTTGGTTTGATAAATAGACTGACAAATTGCTACCTACATTTCTTTTTCTCCAGTTACATTGATGGGAATAATATTTGATTGCTAAGAGAGGTGAGAACTACTTCTTGCTACYGGGGAGTTTACTGTTTTCATATTACCATATTGATCTACATTTTAATACATCAGGGGGTACAAAGGTGTCCCTTTGCTGAGGCTGTGAAACCAATTTCCCCACCATTGACAGATTACTGAATGCAAGGAACAAGAGCTGTAAGAAAAGGCCTGTGTGTGTTCCTTGCTTTATCCCCATCCAGGATTTTTTTTTTTGCTGTGAGCTGGAGGAGGATCCAGCTGCCACCAGGAGATCTGATCCACAGCCTGGAGAGCTGGAGCTGCCCTGCTGGCTTCAGCAGATAGCCCTGGAAACTGTATGAGCCATAGAGTTACACAAAATGCATATTGTTCCTCTGGCTTTGGGAATAACCTGGGGTAGCCTGTGCTGGCTTTCAGGTTGCTCGTGGTAGCCCTGGAATTATTTTTGGCCTTGGAGCAACAGGAGGGATCTCACTGTGTTCAGATAACTTCTGCTTTCTTGTGCTGTGTGTGAATTTGGCCTCTTGAAAGCAAATGGAAGAGCTGCAGTCAATCAAAGGATTATACTTACAGAATATTTTAAAATATTGTAAATAATCAACACTTGATCTTTTTAAAGAGCAATAGTATGACCCAGTGCTGTCTTGGAGGGAAGCACGGTAGCAGTTCCTGAATCTGATGAACTTTGTTAAATTAAAGTGCCAAACTCAGCGCTCAGTAACAGATGAACATCCATGCTAATTCTGTAGTGATCTTCTCTGGGTTTTCAGAAGTGCATAGTGCAGCTTTAAATATGTGAGAAGTAACAGAAACCATAGCAAAGAGCATCCCAGAAATAATGTGACAGAATACAATTTTTCATATGTTTAATTAAACAACCTAAGAGTTATATACAGTAATAAATAATGGTTTCATATAAACTCCGAAGAGTTTCAGATTGTGGCAATTTGTAGAATAATTTAATTTTTTTTTTTTTTAAACTAACATTTCAGTATTGTTCTGTGTAGTGGATGAGGGTGCATTGCTGCTGCCTGGAAAGGGCACAGAAAAATCACTTTTTGTGTAAATGGCTGCAGTCCCCTGCCCTCTGTGCCCTGGGTTTTCCCATTTGTGTGTCTCTGTGGTGCTGTTCCCCATGCTGCATTGCTGCAGAGCTGGGCAATCCCTGCCAAAACATCTCCAAAATGGGAATTGTGATTATTCTTGAAAGGCTGAATTTGTCACTGGTGCCTCTTCTTCTCTGCTGCATCTCTTGAATCCCAGGAAGTTGGTAATTAAAATTACAAACAGACTTGCTTTCCTCGGAGCTGTGCCTTCTGTTTAAATGATAGTTTTGGATCTCTACTTAAAAGTGGATTTCTTTGTCAAATTGATTTGGCTGGGAGGGAAGATCAAGGGTTGGAGAGGAGGAAAAGCCCTCAAATGTCATCTCGAGGGACTGGCTGGATGGAAACCTCTAAACTTCTGTAGTTTGTGCCTTAAAGTGCCCTGGTAGGTACTGCTCCCTTCATCTTATAGACACAGGAGCTGCACTTAGATGTGCTTCTTGTTGCAAACGAAAATGTTAGCAGAAGGATTGGATGGATGTGGTTCAGTACCAGGCTGGAGAAATCACTGACATGGACTGATTTATTAAAGCTGCTTCCAACCAGTTTGTTCTACATCTGACACCCCCCAGATTTTCTTTCTTTTTCCCTCATCCACTGGAGAGTGACCCCCCAAACTCTTGATTTTATATGGAGATGATGATCTGTGTTCCTGGCATTTCCCATCCTAGTCCTCGCTCAGTAATACTGCATTTTTAGTATGGGKTAGGACCCTGTTTTCAAGCATCAGAACTTGCAAATAACCTTGTTATTTTAKCAGCCTAAAGTTTACSTGGAGGTTAATGAGCTGGTGGTAGCAGTGTTTGCACCCTTGTAGCCTGGTTTTAAAGAAAAGAGAGAGATGGGTTCCCTTYTCCAGGAGTGTTGGGAGCATCCTGAGCTCCCAGCTGAACATATTGCACACCAAACAGTGTTTTCCATGGCACTTGCATGGAACACCAGCATCTTGCTGCCTTTAATTAAGAAGATAACTGGACCATGAAGTATTGCCTGTGTAAATAAAAGTGATTTGTCCTTAGTCAGGAAGGTGCATTAGGAATTTTCACATTTCTTCGCTTGCAGATAAATTATGAAGATTATTAAAAACTGGAAGGGTCATCTATAAACCCATCTGTAGCTCAGCTGCACWGTCACTCTCAAAATGTAGCTGTCTTTCTAACTGTTGTAATTTATTGTGGACTATCSTGTGAACCATCTGCTTGCTTATAAATCAGACCAACTTTGACTGAAAGTTGYACACAGCAGTAGAAATCGTTAATTTTATGTCCTGGAAAGCTGTGGCAACAGTTTAGGGAACTTCAGTCTTCATTGCCTTAATTGGAATAGAAATTTAAAACTGGAAATTTTCCTGCCTATGTTGAGATGAGCTGCTAAGAAGCAAGTTGCTTGAAATGTAGAGTTAGCCCAGATTTAGCTTTCCCAGTGCAGTTGGGGTGTTTTGAAGCTTGGCACATCCAGGTCTGTGAGTAACTTGAAAGGGRCAAGACAGAGAACAAGCTGTGTGCATTTTCCATCCCGATAACAACAGAAATAAAACCCAGTGCTGTGATTGCACAGGAAAATCCAGTGAATTACTTCTCTCAGGAGCTGTCTGACAACCAATGAGATGATAATCTCAGCTTTAGGAAGCAGAGAAAGACATTGCCATGATAGGATTAGGATGAGTTTGCCCTTTCAGTGTTCAAGTGCACAGATAGAAAAAAAAAATAAAACCAAACTCAGTTTGCAAATGTTTACACCTGGGCTTTATTTTTTCTTACACTGATTCCTTTTAAAGACAAGAATGTGGATTTGCCTGATGACTTTGACTTTGCTTCAATAAAAAGCACTTGACTGGAGTCCTGTCCCTCTAGCTCTCTTGCATTCTCTCCTATTTCTGGGAACACAGAACTGAGTGTGGGCACCAGCCTTTCTACCTGGGGGAGCTCCAAACTCTTGCTGTTACACAGGTATAAGGGATGGCAAAATGTTCTGAACAGATTTTGAGGAGATTTTAAATTGTCTTTATAAAGAGATYTCTTAGTATATGTAGCTGGTTTTATGTTGAAGGTCTGCTTCTCATCATTTTTAATCAGCTAGAAAAAAAAAGGGTTTAAAAGAAAAATCCTATACATCAAAGAAAAATAGCCTGAGGCAAAGGACTGTGTCTTTCTGTTATTTTCCTTTCTTTGGGGGTTGTTAGAGGTCTCTTTCCTGCTCAGTGTGGCAAGGAGTGTATTTCTGAGAGCACGGTGCTTGTTCAGATTGTTGGAGCAAACCTGCCCTCATTTGAAGCCACACAAAATAACTGGTGACTCCAGTGGAAGGGGGACCAGGGCTGTCATTAACACTTGGCTGGGATTCTGCAAGGGCATCTGTTTGGCCTGAAAAATTCACAGTTGTGAATTAGGGCTGATAACTGCTATTCCCTTTACTGGTGTTTAGTAAGTTCTCATCAGCATAAAAGCTAGACTAGCGAGTGCATAAAATATGCTTCTCTGTCCTTTACATTTTCCCCAGCCGGTATTTGARTGATAGAAATTTTAAAGGAAGCTTTTAAGAGTGATAAATAATTATTTTGCCAATGCACTCRTCTCACTGTGCTCAGTTCTGGAGTGAGAGTGCTGTAATTTTAAAGCACAGGAGCACTTGTGTAATGGCCATATCCTTTTGTATTATTTGCTCTGCAGGTCCCCCTGCCTCCCAGCTAAAAATACACACTGCAAAACAATAAACTGTGT